AAGGACAGGGCACAAGGGCAGCGACTTGATCACTGCTCTAACACCGCCCGCCACGGAGGGTAAGTTGCATTTGCCCATGAAAACCTAGGGATGGTCAACATGGCCCTGAGCACGTTGTGGCCTCGCCGCACGTTGAAGGACCCCCCTGAACACCCTGAAGGACCCCCCTGAACAGCCGCTGCCCTCGCAGCACCGCTGACATGTCCTAGTTCCAGAGCGGCAGCTGCGTAATTTTTTAACCTAGCGCTTGCCTGTGGTCAGCAGTTCCTGGCTCCTCACCACCAGGGAGGGGCGGCCGGCCGCGCGGGCACCTGGAGGCAGCTCGTTGTGGCACTGCCCACTGAGGGCGGTAAGGTTGCCCTGCGTAGGCATTAAACCCGGCCCCCGTATCTCCACTTCTAAACCGCCGCCGTCCAGGGCAGAAGGCCCAGCGGGTCTGACGGAAGGAGTAACGACTGGAGGCAGCTCGTTTTGGCACTGCCCACTGAGGGCGGTAAGGTTGCCCTGCGTAGGCATTAAACCCGGCCCCCGTATCTCCACTTCTAAACCGCCGCCGTCCAGGGCAGAAGGCCCAGCGGGTCTGACGGAAGGAGTAACGAAGGGTTACCGCCGCAGTTAATGAGCTACTCGCCGAGCAGGACTGCGCTGCGCTAGGATGCGAAGGTCTCCTGGCGTGAGCCCAGCTGCTCTTCTCCAGAGGCACCCGGCTCCTGGGGTTTCCGCCCTCCGGACACAGCCCCTCCGTACGCGCCAGCCCGTGCGACTGCTGTATTCACAACGAGCAAATGGCGGATTAGAAACGAATAACTCTGTCGAAGGACTAAACTGAACGCGCACCAAGGAGAGGAGCCGCAGTGGTTTCCGTGCTGTCAGAAACAGGAACTGGCCGATTAAACCAGGCCTGGTTTCCATTGGCTTTGCAAGGAGCTGACTCCAGGACTGTGCAGAGAGACTTTTGCACTTGCAAAGTCACAGGTTCGCCGCTTGTCAGCCCCAAAGGCCCTCCAGCCATGCAAACCTGAGGGGCAAATAAACCTGAGGTGCCGGGAATGAGCTAAACAACTGCATGAACGTCCTAGGCAACAAGCTTCCGAGAAAAGGAAAAAGGACCTGCCGCCTACTTCCGCCTCAGCCGGACAGCCGAGGGCGTTTAGCGCTGTTCAACCGCAGGCTGGTTGCAAAGTCGCTGCCCCAAGAGATGTCCATTCACTTTAATATTAACCCACCAGGTGCCTTGTTTAGGGCTGAGGAGGGCGGTGTAATGCAGAGAACGTGACCAGCTCTGGGAGCAGGATCCCTTGTTCCCATTCGAGGGGTCAGGCATGGCTCTGTGCTGACCGTGCAAGGAGAAAAGGAGGAAGGACGAGGCAAGATCAGCGTCGGCCCCTTCTCCTGCAGCTGGGAAAATGGGAACTGCCTAGCCCTTTTTGCAGCTCCTCGCCCCACTGGTGCGTTAGGGGGAGTCCCTGCTGCCCCTCAGAGGACCTACGTTATCTCCCGCGTCCCTCCATCCCGACTCGGAGGCGATCAGTGTCAAGCAACGTAGCTTAGGGATCTAGCCCCTCGGCCCATTTCTGACCCCGGACTCCCTGCTGGCTCCGACCGCCCTCCTCCCCAAGCGATATCTCAGTAGCGCTGATTTGCTACTGCCCGGGCCGCAGGGAAGGCGATAACACCTGCATTTATGGCCTGCTCAGCCCTGCTGCCTCCCCCCCACTTGTCAACTCCTTTTAACTGC